CTTTTTCTTCTTTCTGATTACGTGTGTCAAGCAGTTAGCACGTGAACTGACATGGAGGCTTTCCTTGCTCCCAGAGGGACAAACAGCGATGAATACGCGAATTTTCTACACTTCTGACATCCAGCTGTATCGCATGGTAATCACAATGAGCACCCACTGTAACCGGGCCAGGGCCACCAAGTAGGGTCACACACACATACATACCACACACACACACACACACACACACACACACACACACACACACACACATACACACACAGAACCTCATTAGGAATTGCAAAGGAGGGGCTAAACCCTCCTCCTTCATGAGCTGAACAGAGGAAAAATTAGTTGAGAGGTGGGTGGAGACCAAGTCAATTCAAAAACAAAGCACTGTGGGGATTTTCTGTGATTGCATATGAAAGGGATGTTTTTAGTGGCGAATACATGTTCAGTGACTTTCTGTAGATGATTATTGTCATAGCTAATCATTTATTCTTTGATTGCAGAATGTCATTTAAGGGAGAAATGACCTTCATCTACTCTTTTATCTGGTTGATAAATTGACTCAAATTTCCAGCTGTGTTTTCTCTTTCTCAGTATTGTTATCGTCCTCTCAGCAGACGCCTTGTTTGTCACTTGCTCTGTTTTCTGGCCTCTATCCATCTCCTGCTGGCCCCGAGGCCAGAGTCCACTCAGCTGTAATCACTCCTCTTTAGCTAACCAGCCCACACAGGACCTTTGCACGGTCACTGCCACTGTTCATACTGAGGAAGGGCTGCAGCAGTTTGGGCTCCTTCGCAGGACGGTTCATAGGCAGACTAGACAGACAGCTGGGGGAAGTGTTATGTAGGAAATGTCTGGTAAGGAGACTAATATAATTCAGACTGAACTTGCCCTCAGATAAAGTTACAAGTGCTTATTGCCTGAAGTCTGTGTTTGCCCTACAGGCAAAGACTGTTGGATAACTGTTTCTTTTAGATGTTCCTGGCTGTGACTTTACAAGTGTGTACACACTGTATATGTGGACTGCAGGTAGACACTCCTGTAAAGCTTCTGACAGGCTCAGATATGCACAACATGTTGCACAAGCACACACACCTGATGAGTGGCTAAAAGCAAATGAAGCAGTGAGACCACTGCAGCTTTTTCTGTAAAACATTAACAAACACTTGGCCAGAAGCAGACCATTAACCTTCCTATTAGTGTAAACAGAAATGAAGACTCAAAGATGTGCTATGTAAATAAAAGTGCAAGGCAATACAGGGCAGGCTGTACTGTGTATAGTCTGTGTTTGCTCCAGTGGCAATGTTTTAGTAAAATGTCACTATTAACATTAGACTGATGTAACTACAGTATGATGGGTAGAGCAGTGTCACTAAGTACAAGTACAGTAACAAGGTATGTGCTAATTGTGTAATTAAGTAACTAAGTGTAATGAATTACTTCAACTCTTGTGTAAAATCGCCAGCTAAAAGGTTACATTTACAAAGGTTGTATTCTGCACAGCCAGCAGCAGAGCGGATACCTGTAGATCCAGCAGGGCCTGTGCTGCCACATCCATCACAATAAAGGTGTTTGTGTTGAGCACAGCTCTGCTCTGTGGCATTTAGGGTCCTTAAAGGACAGTGGAAGCCTGCTGTAATGAATAAGCCATCAGCTAGGTCGGGGCTCCCAGCCGCCACAAGGGCCTTCCCTGTCACATCCATCATCTGCTGAGGGGCCGCTCTGCACAAAGGGAAGGCCGCTTAGCCAAAGGAGTGGGGTACAGGTATGTGTCCACAAAGGGGGGATGGTTTATTTGAAGGTCCGATGTCCTGCTAGCAGGGTCTGGGGAACTAAGGAGCAGTGGTGATTGGAACAAGGTTTAACCTCTTCTTTTGCTATTTCTTAAATGTGAATTTAGGAACAACTGAAGAAGAGAGAGGGAGGGAAGGATGAGGGAAATACGGGAATAGGATTGTCAGTAGGGGGCGGGGAGATGGTGGTGTGGGGGTGAGGGGGAGAGGTTGTCCTGGTCCAGAGGGAATTGAGAGACACAAAGAGGTGTGACTCCCAGAGGACTCTCCTCCATCAGCCCACCCTGCTTTTATTACTGGCCTGATTAAACTCACCCGCCAGCCAGTAATGTAGCTATAATATATGATATCTCTCTCTCTCTCTCCGCGCGCGCGCGGTCCCGTCTCTCTCTCCTCTCTCGTCAACAGTGTCTCCTCTCCTCTGTCTCGTTCAGATCTCCTCGTTCTCACTCTCGTCCTCTCTCAGGTATTCTTCGATGCATATAGACACACCCAAGTGATTTGTCACATGACTAGCTTCCATGGTAACAGAGACAAAGCCTTATTAGCATACTTGATAAGTACTGTATATTTATGTCTACATACATATCTGCACATTTTTCACCATCTAATCTGTGGCGCTGAATTGAATTGATCCGTCTCACCATATTCATAGTATTTGAGGGTTCAGTCAATATTTATGAACATCTACTACCCTAAAAGTAGAATCTCTTGAGTCTGACATATTAAGTCTTCAGAAGACATTTTGTGGGGTTCCACCTTTAACATCTTAATTAGGTTTGTTGTATAGTAGCTCTACAAAGCTGTCGCAGTGTTTAGTCAGCTGATACAAACATGACATGCAGCATAACTCCCACATCTGGGATATTTCCTAAAACACATCCAGAGATTCCAGGCCAAACGCAAAGGAGAGGAGGTTTTTTTCTTTTTTCTTTTTACACTTACTCTCCCAGCGGGGCCTTGAGTATAAAAGGCTTTTCATGTTACTGTGCCAACAAGTGCCTGGGGTGTTGACTCCGCTATGTAAAGGGTCAGAGTCAGCCTAAAGGTTAAAATATTGCCAAATCCGTGGTTTGTCTGTAGGAGTCTAGACGGTGGAAGTGAGTCCTCTCAGCTGTTTCTAAAGTGCTTTTGAGGCATTTATTCCCTCCCCTCGACTGTGTAATGGCTGTGCTAGAGAGCACGGAGCTATGAATGTATATAACTCCATTATAACAGGCACATGATGCACATGATACTCAGTGCTGCTATCTTGGAAAATAACAATTGTGCTGCAGTGTTGTAAACATAATGTCACATTTACAAATAAAAACGCTGTCCTTTGATGGCTTTTAGAAACATGAATGCAGTTTAATTTGTGTTCTGGGAAACTAGGCCTGCAATATTGTTTTATTTGGCCATCTTTCATGGACTAGTGCTTTTTCAGTTTCATTTCACAGTCAGTTGGCGTGTACTGCTCTTTTCCTTTGCTCAGTGAGACGTGCAGCCCGGCCTAATCAGAGATCAGAGTATTGATTTCCAGGCACACAGAAAAAAGGGCTGTTGCTTGCCATGCAATACAGAGGTACTGAGTAGGCCTAATCAACACCTATTGATTATTGTATGCTGACCGCTTCCTTCTGGTGTGCAGTTTTGTGTTCAGCATGTCTGGTACGAAATGTGTGTGTGTGTTTTGTTCTGTGAAAATAAAATGCTGTCATTGAACTTTTATCTTAACACAGAAATAAACTGGGAATAAACAGTGAGGCTGCATTTGATCAAATAATCAACACAGGCACCCTCAATCATGTTGCTATCATAGAGCCATATCCAGACATTAGTGCGTGTACACACACACACACACACACACACACAAACGAAAAAGAACACCTGCTCATTCGCATGCATGCACATAGTCGCACAGTGATGTGAAAGCAATTGGCTGCAGCAGAGGAGAGGCCAACTCCCGGAGTTGGTTGCTAATGGCTACAGGATCCAGGGGAGCGGGGAGAGATGTCGATAATGACAATGTCACTCCCAGCCAACCAGCTCTCAAAAATGGGACAGGACACACACACTTACTCAAACACATGCAAGTCTATTGGTGCATTTATAGGACGTACACACATACACACACCTAGACGCTAAAATGGAAGAGCAATTTTCTTCCAGCCAGGTGGCTTTGTGTTATTATAGCTGTCAAAAGCGACTCTGCTCCAGAGGGCCAATTTGGCTCCAGGTCTTATGTTTGAATAAAGGGTTTTCTTTTCTATTTTACACTGCAGGTAAAATAATCAATGATTTCCCTAAATATTTATTTAAATTTGAAGGTCAGCTTTTCTTCTTTTGTAAATCTGCTTTTGTCTTTGACTTTTGTTCATATTGCCACCATCTTTTAACTGTTATCATAGTGTGGGGAGAGTCTGCCCTTTTCATTAAGCCTGCCCTGGTCCTTGAGTGTATTATGGGTGCTTTAGCTGTGAGACAGTTAATATCCTTATTCCATCCATCAGCGTTTCAATTGTTTCCAGTGTGCACAACAAATGAGGTGGCAGCCAGCATCAGCCCTTTTCAACAATTTTTATTTCTTTTTCAACATGTTATGCAAGTCACCATTTAAATATTTGTTAGTCTTTAGTCTTATTTTATATGGTTTTATTGTTCATATTGGGAACTCCTCTGTCTTACGACATGCTGCGTGTTTCCAATGTAACAGCAGGCCAATGGAGCAGGCCAAGAGTACAATGGAGCTGATGTAGATGATGTAAGGTCATGCAAAACCTACAGGACAGCTTCTCTGCTCTCCTGTTAAAATTGGGTGCTTGTTCACACAGGCCTTAAGATTGAATGCCAATTGTCCCCAAGTGAACAGCGCATGAACAGAGAAGTGAGACATGGCATTTTCATTATGAGCTTGTAATAAATGTTAAAAGCTGTTACATCTCTGTGTCTACTGAAGAATAGCGTTGCTCCATCATCTGTCAGGTGCTGAAAAGTAAAGCAAAAAAAAATATTCACAATATTCTTCGTCCCTTTTGAAAGTAGGACACAATTTCAGTTTTACAACCCCTCCTTCTGACAGTACATTACTGCTACATGTAGCGCAGTGCAGCTGCAGACAGGACCCCGATGACTTCACAGTACAGACGTGGCCCTGATATTTTCCGTTTGAATGCGGTGAGTCTAGGATGCCGCCCTTACTCTTTCCACTTGGTTGCGTATGTTTCAACTGAACAAGCTCGGTGAAGAGGAAAGATAGGGAGGGAGAGAGGTGAGAGAGGAAGTAAACATACATTCTGCCACAAAAAGAGCTGAGGAAGAAGAGATGAATAGACAACCAAGGTGGTGAGAAGGAGAAGAGATGCTAGAGCAAGAGATTAGAGGTTCCAGTTCTCTCTTCCTCTCCAGCAGAGCGGTACAATGAGACATCAACAGCACAGTCAAGCATTTCTGATTCTCTCTTTTCTCCACAGACTAGATGATGATTAATATCATGTTTGCGTAACGCTGAGAGCTGAACATAAACCTTATTGTTATCTTAATGAGCCATGACCATGTAGACCAGCCCTGACTAATAGGGTTAAACTGTTCTGACTCTGTAGTCTGTCTATTCACAGGGTTCACGCTATACAATTTATTTAGTTTGCTTTTATCCTCCTGAGGAGATACTGTGGAGAGAGTTGTTCTTTCATTAAACCCCAGCAAAGCTCTTATCACTCTGTATTTAATGGTCATTAAATTGTAGAATAAGGACTTTCCCCCTCTCTTTACTCAAGATTAGATTAAGCATTGAATTAAAGTAGTTTACAACATAAAACCATTAGAATTATAATAATAAAACCAGTAGAAAACCAGTAGAAAATACACGCATACAGTCTCTCACACACAAACACACATACAAAGTCACACAAATGCACAAATTCCCCTCAGGCAGTGGGCATATCCTGTGAATTCACACTATGCAGATGAGATCTGATGCCCTCCACCCCTCTCTCAACCACCAGCCTTCCTCCTGTCTCCCTTGTTCTCCCTCCTCTTTCTCTGGTACTCTTCATTTTCCTCTTACACTCTCTATCCTCTTGCACACCTTCTCTAATTTCTTAATTAGGTTTTGCTCAATATAACCTCAATTTTTCCAGCTCAGTGAATAAGTGAATAATTTTGCACAAGCAGCCTGGTTTGTTGCCATCCTGAGTTCTGTGCTGCCATATTGTCTAGTCTGTCTGATAGCAGGCTCATACATATGCAAATGTTTGTGTCCGTAGGTATAAATCTATTAATATTATGCAAAAAACTATGCCTTTGCTTCACTAGGCTTTCCAAGAGTTTAAGAAAAGTTTCTGATGTCAGAACTGAGGTTTTCCATATGCATGCAACCTGTGGACCCAACTAATCTTGATTTATGCTTTCTGTGCCAAGATGTGCATTAGCCCATCCCAGCTTCTTTCACATTAATATGGGGACCACAAACTGAAATGTGATACAATGACACTGTAGGAAAACCAAAAGTAATAAACACAGTAATATTTGTATAGTACCAGTTCCTTTTAATTCAGTTAGTCCTGAACAGAGGTTTACATAATGACATTCAAACAGTGTTTTGAATTAAATGATATTGCACATTAGCCTTCATTTTTAGTTAAAATGTATAATTCTATCCCGGAGAGTCTCTTAGTCAGAGCGGAGTCATCTTACAATCACCGTACAGGCTCCACAGTGGCTGTTCTGTTTGAAAGAACCTCCATGAAATCAGACCTGATCTTTTAAGATTAGATTTGCTTCAGTTAATGTTTTATAAGGGATCTGTGCAGTGCGTGACTTTGCATACTAAGACACTGATACTTATCCACATCCTTTATTGCACTGCTGCCTCAGGAATAAAGTCTGCATTATCTGAGCCATGGCAGACTGTGTATAGAAACGTGATATTGACAATAAATATCACATTATAAAGCTATCAAAATAAGAAATATAACACATGCAAATCAAAACAAAGTTTGTTCAGACTAGACAGTACGTTTCATTTTACTGACAGACAATATATAATTAAATATTAAGAATTCCAAAGAGCTTAAGATGTCTGACAAAGTTTGAGAGACGTGATTGAAGCTGAAAAGTCCAGGCGAACATTTCACCCGATGAGATGAATCGGACAGCTTTTAATTCCCACTGTTATCAGTTTGCCTTTTCCTTCAGTCTCTATCTACCTATAGAGAGATGTAGGGTGTCAGACTTTCAGAGAAACTATCCTGATCTTCAAGGCCCTGCCTGGTGCTGCGAGGAGACAGAGATATCTGTGTCGAACTGTCCCTCGCTCTGACTGTCAGAGATAACACTTCACAGCAGCAGCTTAGTAAAATAAGAAGTGGCTGGAAAGAAGGGAGGGAGAAATTCTGGCCTCTGAAGAATAAAGAGCAGGAGTAATTAACTCTCCCATCAGCACACTGGTCAATAGTACGGCAATCTGTGGACTGGAACTGTCCGATTGGAAGAATCTGTGGCCTACTTCTCTTTTCTGTCCAATTCCACCTCATCTAACTTCTT